ACTTCATGCAAGTTTGATGAAGTTTTTTTAGAATGGTAAATCATGGGTCATCTCCACTTACTACTGAGGAAATCCTGCAGACTCTAAACTGCCCTTTAATAGATTAAACTTGGCACTTCAATCCTGCGTAAAGTTTAGATCCCCAAGCATCTAGGAAGGTGGCTGTAGGGTGACACATGAGCATCTAAGTGCAGATTTATTATCCATGCCAAGAAGAATGTAGCAGCAATAGGATGTTCTTCACGCGGGGATTAGCTTCTCCAAATTTGCTGCAATCCACCCATGTTTAAAACCCTCATTGAGGTCTAGAAAATAGAGAGTATAGCTTCAAAACTTGAAGGATGGATGGATAATAAAAGCGTGACTGATTTAATTCTGTCGGATCCACAGTAATTCATGATAGCACCCTACAGTTAATTCAGGGCTTTCTGGTAAGATTGTTCAGGGTCTACAGTCCTAAGGAGATTGCGTGAGTACCCTACTCAAATGATCTATACGCCATTCTTCAGGGGCCTCTGTTCTGTTCTTTGAGTTTTAGATATTTTCCCTGGTTTAAATCAATAGATGATAAAAAGTTAGCTTGTTTTTTCAGGAAAAGGTTTAAAAACAAAGAAGCTATTACTGATCACCTTTTCTCTTTCTAACTCCAGTAGCCCTATGACACCCCAAGCTCTGTTCTGGTATTTTGAAGGGGAATTGTATTCAGATTGTCGTTAACAGATCCCTCCTCTTCCACCAGGGTCAGTACCTGTACCTGCATCAGTGCATTCGTGATGTTCTCAGAGCCCGAAAGCTGCGCAGTGAGCAGGAAAGCCTCATCCACACTGTTCCAAGAATGTGAATCCCAGCAGGCAGAGAGGTGAGTGAGCCTGCAATCGTGCTGTGAATTATCAACAACCATCAGAAGAGTCCCTAATCAGGAGTCTTAATCCTTCCCCACAGAGATACTGTGATTGTACTGCCTGCAAAGTGACTGTTGAGCTTAACAAAAAAAAAGAAAAAAAAGAAAACACAACCTTTTATTTTTCTATCAGTGTCCATATTTTATTCTGAAGAATTATTATAATTTATGTAACGGGATTTAGAGTGCGTCTGTGGCTGTACACTGTGTTTCTGTGTCACGATGAAGCTCGCGATGAAACAACCTCAGGAGACTGAATATTTCAATCAGCTCTGATCACAGGTGCACACTCCACTGCTGAAAATGTATTCTATCAATAGCAGACTGAGCTCCTCGTTAAATATATGTATACAGATGAACAACAGTACCTGTATGTTAACTGTTCATCTTCTTCTACCTTAACCTGTACCTGGAGATCTGCTTGTAGCCAAATCTGTACCTGTGCAAGTTCTGTACCGAATTCCAAGCCTGTACCTCTACCTAACAATACCTGTGTGTGAACAGCTCATTAAACATGCAGCACGTGTACAAATACCTGATTTCTGTTGTTATTGATCAAAATTGATTAAAACTTTCTGCCACCAAAGAAATATTCATATGTAACTCCGAATCAAAAACACTCCTAAGAACTTTTTCTAACTCCTCACAATGCTGTTAAACACTGGAAAAAGTATTTCATCTGTCCATCCATACACACACCTTCTGCTGCTCATCTGTCAGGGTCACAGGGGGCTGGTGTCTATCTCCAGCAGTCTATGGGCAAGAGGCATAGTACACCCTGGACCAGCTGCCAGTGCGGGAACAAAGATAAAAAAAACATGCATTAACACTTTGAGACAATTTAGAGGCCGCAATTTATCTGTCAGAAATGTTTTTGGCCTAAGAAGCCAGAGTACCTGGAAAGAACCCACGCTCACACTGGGAGAACATGTAAACTCCATAAGCTTCAACCTTATAACAACACTTTAATAGAACAATTACAATACCGCATCAACAGTACAAAAATTCCTTTAACAGTACTCTAACAGTGCACTAAAGATGATGCACCTTTGACAACACTGAAAAACACTGCAACGGCAGAGCAAAAATGATACAACAGATCTCTAATGATTTTAAATCAACATTGAAATTACACAGTAGTTTACAAAAAAAAAAAAACTACAGCAAAAGGTTTTCTATATAGGCTCTGAAATTATCCAACCGCAATTTCAAAACAAAAATAATTAGTGTTGGACGGTGTCTCCCACCGAGTGCATGAAGTTGTTGAAGAGCTGGAGGTTCTCTTCAATTATGGAATGCTGCTCCATAGATGCACAGAGGAGTGCTACCACTGCTCAAAACAAGCTTGGTAAGTGTCTTTAAATTCATGCTATTGTTTGCACAGTGTCTAGCTCAGTTTTCAGTTGCTCTTTTTCTCACGCTCCATCAGGTGTCTGCGGTTTTAGAGTCCCTCGACTGTTGCAAACTTAGCTTAATCTAAGAGTGCAATTTTGTAACTACTCTAGCTTTCTTTTATGTTTTATACAAATTTTTTTAAACCTGTTTTTCATTTAGTGCTTTTTCAGTAATGTGTTAACCTGTCCGCTTTGTCACTAACACACTTGAATTTCCTTGCTGTGGGACAATGCAGGATTTTTGTTTTTAAATGCTGCAACAACACCCTAACCACTACTTTGGAACCCTTCAACAACACTGTTAAACTTCAGCAACACTAACTTAATATTTCTCTGACGGTTTTAACTATGCTTTGGTAGTTATTCAACACACCAAAAAGAAACAAACAATATTTAAGATGACAAAACTTTGATAAAGTTGCATGAAAAAATGCAAAAACTCTTTGAAGCTACAGTGTGTAATAATTACAGGGATATAAAGTCAGAAATTTAATATATTATACATAACTATGTTATTTATCATCACCTATGAGCTCAGCCTTTTAACCATAATATTTGCGTTGCCTTAGAATTCGTTATTTATAATTACCTAGGAGCGGGTCTCGCAGCCATGGAGGCAGACATCTTTGCGCTACGGCAAGCGCAGAGGCAACAAACTAGCGATTGCGAGATCTCCCATTACGCTCGAAAATAACTACGGCAAGTTGAGAGAGATTAACTGAGACGGTACTGAACAGTAGATGGCAGTATTATGCCTGAGAAGCGTTTAGTCTGCCTGAAACCAAAGAAGAAGAAGAAGCAGGTATACTGCGCCTCAGTAACAAGAAAGGTGAACAAGGCGGCAGGCGTGAGTGACTTTGCAAACTGTTTGGCACTGTGTGGCCAAACATCAGACGAATGGAGGATCATGCCTACTCTGTATCACAACGAAAAGCGGCAGACACCGAACCCCCGTCATCTAAGAAGCGGAAACACGACGAGAATATACGCAAGCGTGACAAGAAACGACAAAAAACACGGATCAACATTGGCACGGCATTTACACGATGGAAGTCACTGATGGAGGAAAAAGGTTTTCAAAGTGACGCTCAAGTTGCCAGTTTTCTCTTGGACAGGTAATTAATCCTACACACACAATTGTCTAATATCACTGCAGTTTTTGGAGTACAGGATGCTCAGACCCGTCTAAAACAATAACATGCTGCGTGATGATGCTGTTACTCTCCACTATACTTATTCAGCAACGTCCCTGACGTTTCACAGGTAATGATTTAGTAATTTTCTGTAAAATAATTTTCTGGATATATACCTCGGTTACTTCTCTCCGGCTCCTTTGGAGATCTTCAAGCCTTTCCTCCTCTGCTCTAGTCACCCCGCTGGCACCCCTCCCTCGCCTGGCCCTAGCTGCACGCCCACCGCGGCCTCTCTGCCGTCACCCTCTTCCTCTCCCTCTTCCTCGCCTTGTAACCCCCGTGCCACAAACAAGACTTGGACTCTGTAAACGGGGAATATATATTCTTCCAGCGAACACAATCTCGCTGTTAAACTAATGACTACAATTACTTTGTCTGTTTATATCACCATGCAAAGCAGCTCACAAAAACGTCACAACGACGTAGAAAAAATAACGGGTATATTTATTATCTAAAGTCTACATGAAATCTATACCCTACACAGACTAATGAAATACTATCTGTAAAATTATCTATGTAAACAAACCTCATCACTTGAGAAGGTAGGTGATTCCGACGTCGTGGAAGACATTTTTCCCGTAACGCTCGCCGTACTGTTGGGGGGGAGAAGCGGTGGGGGGGAGACGTTCATGTTGCTGCAGTCTGCAGTCTGGACGTTAGATGTCGCTGAAAATTACACACTGTAGCTTTAACAACATTTAAAACAAAGTATGAAAGTATGACATTAGTTTAAACAACAGCTGCATCTATGTTACAGCTGTAGAGACAAAAACGATCCTAATTACATTATTTAACAATAAAAGACCTTTTGAGAATTAAAGGGAACAACAATGCAATAGCTCCACCTTTGCAGCAAATATGTTGTTGCCTTTCCACTAAATATCTTGTCAATGTACCACATTGCAAACAAACAATATCACTTTGCAGTTTTACTGAAACAGCACTGCAACAATGGTGTAATAGCACAAATACACTGCAACAAGTTTGCCAAATTTAAAACACTGCAAAGCTACTGTAAACACACTAAAGGAAACTGCAGAGTAGTAACAAGTAATGGAACTATAGCATGCAAAACCTAATAAGTTAAATGCAGCAAAACATATAGTATAATATACTAAAGCACAGCACATCAGGTGTGTATAATGTTCGGTGAAATATCTTAAGATAGTCTTTTTGTGACAGTATTTCAAGGTTTGCCTCACTTCCATAATAAGTATGTTGTTTGTTATGGTGAGTTTTGTAGGTTATTGTGACTTTGTAAATTATTATGACCATGTTGTGCATTATTGTTTCTTTTTATCATTGTGACTTTTGTGTTTTTTATGTCTGTGTCCAGTATTATTCAGTTGTATTATTAACTCTGTTTGCAATATCATAAATCTAATGTGGGATATTGATTGCGTGCTGAGATTTATGGTGTCAGTTTTGTGTTATTGTGAGGTTATCGTGAGTCATTGCTATGAGTAAATTCTGTTTAGTCCTAGGCCCTTACTTTCCCTTCTGCGCATGCGCGCCAGGCCGCGGCAGAGCCGGAAGTTGAGCCGTGATTTAGCCCCACAGACAGCTAACAGCGGAAAGATTTAGCGAGTTCACAAAACTTAATTTCGGGCAGGAAAAGTTTTTTTAGAGGAACTCCGGAGCTTATAGTGACCCACTAACGACGACCGATGGATTGCGACGAGTTCTACTCGTTTATTCTCCACGTAGAGGAGCGTTAACGACCGTTGAAAGAAGTTGTGATTGTTTTTTGGCGCTCCAGTGGCTAACGCTAGCTGCTAAGGCTTTCTGCTAACGCTATCTGAACAGACAGAATCAAGCTGCTGGTGGTCCAAAGGATTTGGAGCGATTATAGCCCCCTTTCTCCGCCAACTGGAGGCCCAGAAGGTTCGGATGCTGCAAGTCACCTCGCTGACGGAACCCGGTGAGTTTGGGTTGCAATGCCTTAGGTTGCCTAGCTATTGCTAAGAAGCTGCTGCCTACTAGCTGCCATTACAGAAACATCTCAGGGAAGTTTCAGCTGTGTGACCAGAATCTCGCAAACTAACCCAGATCCTCGTGGGGATCACACCTGGCTGGCACACTTAGTGGGACCATGTAACTACAATTCCTACGTTGACTAACGTTGAGAAGTTTGGGTGCTTGTAGGTATAGAATAAACAGTAAAAAAAGGTCCGCATTCATACATGCCAGCGACTGAAAGGTGATGATTGATTATTGATTGATTTACAGATGAATTAAACCCATAGGTGATGAATGAATGCTCAAATCTCACCATGACCTGGTTGTTTAAATCAAACTCCATCAACCAAACAGTTTTAATTCAAAATCCTATTTTTATTAATGTACTCAGTCTATCAAATCAGGTGTCATGGATGTTGGTGCATTACAGAAAGCTCTGATTGTTGTTTTTGTGTTAATTAGTTGTTTACTGATTTGTATAAATAAGCTATGAAAATTGAGCTAATTGTGCTTGAGATCATAGTATGTAATCTACCATACTGTTGTATTACCCAGTAAGTGGGAATGGTGATAGTCTTCCCATTGGGGTGTTGTCTTTATAAAATCACTGGAAATGGTTGTCAGAACATAGAAATTCATGAAAAACTATATCTTTAGAACCAATACCAAGAAAGTAGGTTGTAAGGAAAAGCTCAGCTGTTGTTTATTTCCCACTATTTATAATAAAACTTGTCAAAGGCTGTCAAACATAATCAGAAATTGAAGAAACTGACCTGAAATATAAAAAAAAAATTCTTAAAGACTGTAAATGTCATTCCTGCGATCCTTTTTTTCAGCTTGAATGTAATATTCATCAGTGTGGAATATATTTTCCCCCTTTTAAAACTAGCCACAGTTTCTTACCCTGTAACAAACTTGTATTAATCTTTAAATGTTTTTTGTTTTTAATTCCTAAAATGAAATATTAATTTTAGTTTTTTAATGGTTAAGAACTAAATCATTTGGCTATAGGAGGGCACAGAATATTGATTTTCTCAAAAATCATGATGTTTTATTAGAAATAATTTTTATCGATTCAACATAAACCCCTAGCTGCTAATTGACAACTTCCTGCCCAAGAGATGCTGTGCACCATCTGCAACAATGCAACAACAAGATCTCATAAGGTTTTCCAGGGCTACGTTAATATAAAAATCACAATATATCGTTTTTGTTACTGTATCTGGGTAAATAGGAATAAAAACTAAAAAAGTGACACGTGTATTATGATACCGATCGTATCGTAAAATTTACGTTCCTAATTTGCACATCTGCTAGTTTCCACTTGACTCAAACGGTTTGATAGGATGATGCCATAAAGTGTCAAGTTTGTTTTTGATTGTGACTTTATAAATAAACTGGGCTGTATTATAAATAAAGTTAGGCGTTGGTTTTCTGCTCAGGTTTGTAAGATAATGCTTAACGTAAGTTTGGGATGGAGGGTGAGGTAAATTATAAAGTCATAACTGACCTTGGCAACAGCTTCCCATCATCTTATTGTCACTGATTTCCAACTCTTTTCTGACTGTAATATATGAGCTCAGAGGGATGTAGAGTCCTCCGGTTTCATATGAGTCACCATGTTTGTGCTTTGAGCTGCCTTAAGATGAAAGAAATAATAAGAACCTTGGTTAAAAAAGAGGAAGGTGAATATTTAAGGTCAGCCATGAGGGAGAACGAACTGAACTTTTTGAACTGAAAGTTTTTCTCTCAGAAGGTTCTACTTCCTTCTCCCTGATAACTTCAGCTTAACACACTATTATAAAGTGAAACCTATCCTTGGTAAAGTGAGTTATTTTTAACTGTAGTGTGAACACAGCAAAAACAGGCTAATGTTTTGATATTATGTTTTTTTTTTTTTTTTGTATCTCCTCTGAGATGAATAATGCATATTAGAAGTCTACTTCAGTTTGAAAGCATCTTCTGGGGGATACTAGACACTATTGGTATAAACTAGCTCGTAACAATGTGAGGAAGAGGTGCAATTGCTGTATGCTCTTTTTTTTTTTCTCCTCATGATGACCCTCATCATTTAGTATAATTTATGTCGGGTGTGGGCACAGATTTTCAATAGGGTTAAGCCAGATGCAACTCTTGCCAAAAATGCACATTCATAGCTGGCAGAGATGTGGATTGAGAGATTTCTCTGTTCGTCAAATGTAAAGGCGCATTTAGGAATGACAAAGCAGGCAGGGATGTCAAGGATGCATTAATAGACTTGCAAATTGGCCGATTATAGAGAAGTTGCACAACTTTTGGTGCGTTGGATATGGAAATAGAGCAAACCAAAATCTCACAGTATTTGGAAACGTTGAACTTCTGTAGCATTTTGGGTCATGTTAATCACTGAAGCCCTGGATGCGTGATTGATTGCGCATTAGATACAAAGCTTTTCTTAGACAAAGGCTAACAGGGGGCCCCCTGCTGCAGTACAGCCGCTTCTGGTACTGAGTCCTGGACAGACTGGGGTTCCCCTGGAAGTGAACATTCAGCCACGGCTCATGAAGCAGATACTGGCCCATCTGGGAGGGGATCTGGAGATGCTGACTCCGTTGTTCGACTTTGTTTATCATGTAAACCGCAACGACTCACCCTGTAAAATTTGAGATCTGCATGGGTCAGAATAGATGCCCCTCCTGTTCGATGACGGGGTGGAAATACAGCATGGTTTGAGAGACATAATGTCAAGAATTCAGCTTGTCAAATATCATTGGTATATATACTTGGCTGGAACTGTATATATTGAGCAGCTCTTGTTTACCTGTGTATCAGTTTGATGTTACTTTAAGCAGCTGCTCTACAGCAGTTAATGATTGGGCTAGGGAAAAACAGATGAACAAGAAACTTTCCCTTTCAGACAGAGTGAAGACATGGCTGCAATCCCAGCCTGCTTTTAGGATTTGTTTACCTGTTCAAGGTCAGCTTCTATCAGATTTATGAAAACCTGTTGTAAGGTTGATGTTCTGGTTCAATAAGGCTTTTCCAATTTTAACAGTCTAAAACCCATTCTGCAATATTGCAGATTGTGTTGAAACAATGCAAAAATAAAATAAAGCGTTGGCTATAAACGTCCACTGTCATTATTCATTCATTCATTCATTATTCTTCTATTGGCATTGACTAATGCGTGCATGATCTCTGAATCAATAGAGCATTTAGCAGTCATGCTTTAAAATCGCGTGATGCGCTTCCATTGTCCCTCCCTCCTTTTTCTATCCATTGTTAATGTTTTGTTTGATTTTTTAATAGACTTTTCAGTTTATATAATTTATCTGACATTTACCAGTACTTTGTTAATTTTATCATGTAAATAGAGAAAGAAAAAGCAATATTGGCTTAAAGGATCGGCCCCAGAAATATCGGCAGCATATATCGTAAGTAAGGTTTGTCCCGATACAACTGTTTCATTTCCACTATGATGATATTGCAGTTTTGACATTTGGACAATACAGACATTGACAACATACGATATTAACATGAATCTTACCAGCTTTTATTACTTACTTTATCATCTAGAATGTTAGGATAGGCTTGATCAAATAATATTATTAAAACAGGGAACAAACATTAACAACAAAAGGTATAAAAAAACTGACCCATGTAAAATGAATCAGTGAGTTTAATTTTAAAACTTTTGAAGCAGGTTGTTTCTATCAGGATGATAATATCTGATATTTAGGATGCAGCTGATGAAATCGGATATTATTACTTAGGCTAGTATCGGACCAAAATCCCATATTAATACTAGATCGGGACAAGTGTTGAGTATTGGCATTGGTGTTGTGATATGACACGTGTCACGATACTTGGGTCACGATACGACATTACAACAGTATTGCAATATCTCTATATATTTTTCACAGCTATAAAAAATTTAATGTATAGATTAAAAAAAGATAGCGCTGTACGTGTTCATCAGAAGAAATTGATAATTTAGTTATTTTGGTGTTCATGTTGTTTGGGGTTTGAGTCAGTCTGCGTCTTTCACTGTGACTGGCTCAGCTTAAAAAATGGTGCTGCGCTGCTTGCAAAAGGGCTCAACAGCTCTATCTGCCAGAGCTGCAGTGCAGAGGTAGAAGTTTCCCTCATTGTTTTAGGTTAAATGTTTGTTTTAGTTTTTTTATTTATTTATTTATTTTTATTATTGATAGTAGGAACTGAAATGATCAATGTTATATTGGAAACCTGATAATCACAATATATCGCAAAATGTTTTTTTTTTCTTTTTTCTCACCCTTAATCTGGACATCCCTAATAGTAAGACATACACTATATTGCCAAAAGTATTTGCTCACCTGCCTTGACTCACATATGAGCTTAAGTGACATCCCGTTCCTAATCCATAGGGTTCAATATGACGTCGGTCCACCCTTTGCAGCTAGAACAGCTTCAACTCTTCTGGGAAGGCTGTCCACAAGGTTTAGGAGTGTGTTTATGGGAATTTTTGACCATTCTTCCAGAAGCGCATTTGTGAGGTCGCACACTGATGTTGGACGAGAAGGCCTGGCTCTCAGTCTCCGCTCTAATTCATCCCAAAGGTGTTCTATCGGGTTGAGGTCAGGACTCTGTGCAGGCCAGTCAAGTTCATCCACACCAGACTCTGTCATCCATGTCTTTATGGACCTTGCTTTGTGCACTGGTGCACAGTCATGTTGGAAGAGGAAGGGGCCAGCTCCAAACTGTTCCCACAAAGTTGGGAGCATGGAATTGTCCAAAATGTCTTGGTATGCTGAAGCATTCAGAGTTCCTTTCACTGGAACTAAGGGGCCAAGCCCAGCTCCTGAAAAACAACCCCACACCATAATCCCCCCTCCACCAAACTTTACACTTGGCACAATGCAGTCAGACAAGTACCGTTCTCCTGGCAACCGCCAAACCCAGACCCGTCCATCAGATTGCCAGATGGAGAAGCGCGATTCGTCACTCCAGAGAACGCGTCTCCACTGCTCTAGAGTCCAGTGGCGGCGTGCTTTACACCACCGCATCCGACGCTTTGCATTGCACTTGGTGATGTATGGCTTGGATGCAGCTGCTCGCCCATGGAAACCCATTCCATGAAGCTCTCTGCGCACTGTTCTTGAGCTACATGAAGTTTGGAGGTCTGTAGTGATTGACTCTGCAGAAAGTTGGCGACCTCTTCGCACTATGCGCGTCAGCATCCGCTGACCCCGCTCCGTCAGTTTACGTGGCCTACCACTTCGTGGCTGAGTTGCTGTCGTTCCCAAACACTTCCATTTTCTTATAATACAGCTGACAGTTGACTGTGGAATATTTAGGAGCGAGGAAATTTCACGACTGGATTTGTTGCACAGGTGGCATCCTATCACAGTTCCACGCTGGAATTCACTGAGCTCCTGAGAGCGACCCATTCTTTCACAAATGTTTGTAAAAACAGTCTGCATGCCTAGGTGCTTGAATTTATACACCTGTGGCCATGGAAGTGATTGGAACACCTGATTCCAATAATTTGGATGGGTGAGCAAATACTTTTGGCAATATAGTGTATGTCAAAAAATAAGTATTGTAGTTGGCTTTAAAAACCTGTATGGTTGTTTTTTGTGAATTTTAGAAAGTTTAGAAAAATCCCTGCAGCAGATAAAATACACAATTTCTGTAATGACATTCCCTGTCCTGTTTTAAAAACCTGCTCAACAACATGTCACAGAACACTTAAAAAGATAGATTTTGCATAAAGAAATTGTTGTTTTATTAAATAGATTCCCCATTAGTTTGTATTGAGGTGGACTCTGCTGGGAATGTGGAGAAGGAGCTTCTATTGTCAGCTAATTTTTTAATAATCAATGGAAGAAACTAGGGCTGGGCGATATAGAAAAAAAGCTTATCGATAAAAAAAAATGCATATTGATCGATATCGATAATTATTGAAAAGATTTGAAACCATATTTTATGTGCAGCTCTGCCTGGACTTTTTATAATATTGCTAAATGATTTAATTTTAATAAAAAACACAAACACAGACTTCGAATTAAATCTTTATTTAACCAACTTTTTTAACCATAACAGAATTGTTTTAAAGAAAAATAACTTAAGAGACCTGAGTTATGTTATTAAATACTGACAAAGAATAAACTAAAGTGACCAAAATAAATATAACAAATAAATAAATGCCCCCCCACCGCCGCCGCCCCCGTTTCCTGCTTTAACCTGAGTTATTACTTTGAAGTTTCTGGGCCCTCAGCATTTTTATCTCAATAGACCTTTTTCACACTTCCGGGTTTTAAAGCGGATGTGGGGTTTGACAACTTCCGGTGGCTATAGCGTTAGCATAAAAGTCTAAGAAAATGGCTCAGTCTCGGCGCAGTTGTTTTTGTTCTGTACCTGGTTGTTCATGTGGGGCAAGAAAACAGCCATATCTGTCCTATCATGCATTCCCACAGATTATGTTGCAACCGCAACAGAAACATAAAACAAATAGTAACAACTGAACAGGAAAATGTTAGAATAAGCTCTAAGTAGTCCAGAAGTCGTACGTGAAAGTTCTTCAGCCGTCAAACATGAACAGGAACTCGAACCAACGAACAAGAGCCAACCGGCTTTCTGACTGTTTCAAACCTGCAGCTTGTGCGGTTCCTCATTTTTCTTCATGGATCTGAAGCATCTAGCTCTGACAACTACCTGCCCCTCGACAATATTTGACACTACAGGCATGCAGAAGTAAAGCATAGTTTCAACATCAAGCATCATCTAGAATCTCAGAACTAACATAACATTCTAGCATGCTGTTTTTCACAAACTGTAGTGGCAAACAAATTTCAGAATGTCAAAATATAACTGAAAAGTTTAAACTATGTCCGTCTCCAATATTCCACATAATTTAGATACTAAGTTAGGCTTCATTACGATGTTTGTGTAGCTCATATCTTGCAGCTAGCGGTTAGCTCGCTATGCTACGTCTTTTCTTACCTTGATAGCTGTGGATATATTCTTCGTGGAAGAACTTGTATCCTTTCACAGATTTGTTGGTGGGGGAATTCGCCGCAGCGATTTTCTCCGCATCCGCGAAAGCAAGTGTTGGCCATCTAAGTAAGGATGACGAAAAGCACCGGAGGAGAGACATTTTTCAGAGTAAAACAGGAAGTGCTCCAGCCCTTTCAGACGCAGCTTCCGGTTGTCGTGAAAAAGGTAAATTGTTAGAACTACGTGGGAAACTGCCCAGAACTGAAAATATATATATATTTTCCGAAGATTCCTCGGAGGAGAGCCGCGTCGGGGCCTACACAGCTCGTACTCCTGCGGCTGTGAGCGGCTGAGATGATAAAAAAAAGTTGGTTTCGTTATCAGACTGGTTTTCACTGGTTCCCGACACATTTTCCAGATGACTGTGGTTTGTTTTTGGTCCGACTTGCCATGACCGAAATACTGCCAGACTGCCGAACTACAAAAACCCTTCTTTGAAACAATTTCCTCCGCCTCTCCTTGCTGCATCTTCATGTGCTCTGTGTTGTGGTTTGAGAGGGCGGCGCTTGGTGACGGCATGCCTGGGTCCGCGATTGTGATTGGTTGGGAGGAAGCAGTGACTAGCATAAACCTACATGCTAGGCTACAATGAGAAGGAAGGAAAACTGCGTTTCTTTTTTATCGAACTTTTATCGACCCTCTTTTTTTCTATTGCGCCACACGTCTATCGATCGATATATATCGTTATTGAATTATCGCCCAGCCCTAGAAGAAACAAACATATTGTTTGTTTAGACCAGTAGCTCTGTTTTCTGTCTGTCGCTCTCTGGGTTTTGTCCACTAGATCCCATTGAGACCTAAAGCATTGCTGTAAACCCAATTTGGAGTCAGGTTATCCCACCAGTAATACAGAAGTTTCTAATAAAATGTAGATGCTCCCTGCGTTTTATTCTGGGACACTGTGGAGACAGTTTCTCTCTACTAATCTGTTGTTAATTCCTACAAACAAATGATTTAATATCACCAGTCTGATGTTAAACCTCCATAAACAGCACGTATTGTTTCTGAAAACTGGTCCCTAGCTTCCAGTTCTGATGGCATGTACCAACTGCAATGAAAACAGTAGCTACACACCCAGTTTCAGTATGGATTTATGACATTTGTAAACACTCTATTGTCCAGAGCTGCTTGTCACTGTGCAGCATTTATAAACAGCTGAACACCATCAGCTTCAGTTTCTATTAATAAATACAGCTGGTAATGTTAGAAGACCCAGCAGAGTTTATGAACCAAGTAAAAAAAAAAAATCACTATTTGAATCAGGAATTGGATTTATAAATGCCAGCTGGTCTATAAGGATTTTGCAGTCTTCATTTGCTGACCTATGAACAGTGGTAATAAACAGGATTTATAAATACCAGCTGGTGATGTTCAGTAGTCCTACAGATTTTATGATTGTTATGAATTGATTAAGAAAAAAATCTGTTTTGTATTTATTTACAGTCTTTACAGTCCCAAACAGCTGCTTTTTGATCAGTATTTTTTTCTTTATATTTTAGTGCTTGATTAACGATTTAGAAACTTTAGCTGTAGTTATTAAAAGACTCAACAAAGTTAATGTGGGTCTCATGTATTGTTTATATGGTGGTGATATTAAACAGCAGGAAGCTGAAACGGTAACCTCATTTTCCTTTAAAATGAAACTACTTTCTTTCTTTTTTTTCCTTCTTTTTTTTGTTTTTGGAGAATGTGAAGTAAAAAATGAAATGTGACCTGGTGTTGGGATAAAACCAATTTAACAAAACAGACACCAGTGAAGGGAGTCAAAAGGGTTTTAAAAACATTTTGAATTATGCTTATTAAAGGCAAACACCATGTCTCACTTGTTTCTCCCACATGTCAAACATGTTGCCTTTTCTGTTTATTTATTAATCTGTTCTAAAAAGGTGCTTTAAAACTAATTGAGTTGTGAGGAAAACCAACCAGACTGTGAGAAACCTCTCCTCATCTGGATAAACTCTGAAATATTGCTGTCATGATTTGACCTGCAGAGCTGCTGTTCCTCACTGCAGACCAACTGAAGCTCTGAGGATGGAAGCAGAGCTACTGGAGGCTGGATCTAGGTGAGTCCACTGGCAGAATCCCCCATGTGATGCCCCTATGGCTGCCCCGGTTCCCTCCTAAAGGTTTCCTCTGTTTCAGATGTCAGATGGTGCTCTGAAGAAGCCATGGGTAGCTGTTTAAGCTGTCCAGAGAAAGAGTCAGTTCCAGATAATCATCAGAGTAAATTCAAGGTACGTTCCTGCCTCTACCTGCCTGCCTCCCCACCCATGCCCTCACTTACTCACTAATGACCGTCCCACGCTCTCATTTCACAACTAGCAGTTCGACTCTCCTGTTCTGTGAGAAACACTTATTTCAGCTCGTCATTATGAGGCGGATAGGGTTGGTGAGTCACCTGGAGCAAATAGAGAGGAGTCATAAATCGGTTTGACCGCAGTAATGATGATCAATTAGAAGTTGCTGTGAAAATTCTTATTTAACCACCAAACATGTAGCTTCTTTTTAGACAATTTAAAGCATTTTTGTTGCTGAGATCAGATCTTTATGCGTGGATAATAATCTGGCTTTTTTATCGTCTGCTAAACAAAATCTGTTTCTTTCCTTAAAAAAGCTTTGGTTAAGAAAGTTTGAACTCAAACTTCAATAGGGTTTTATATATATATATATAGATATATATATATATTGATATATTGATATATAGATATATAGATATATTGATATATTGATATATAGATATATTCCGGTCCCACAGAAAATCGTGTCAGACGAGGTCGCTTGAGGACGATAACACCCGACACGATTTCACACAAAGTCGGACAACGCAGCAATTCATGGGTCTGACAGGAAGAGAGACTTGGTTACAAAGTAAATCACATCCGCTTTGGGGGGGGAATACAAAATAAAATCATTAATTGCACGGGAAAAGAGTCCTTTGGAGTCTCACATCACATATATAGGCGGAACAGGCTCGTGCACAAAAAACAATGAATGAAATATCAAAGAATACTTTACCCATGCTAGGAATCCAGGAGGACAGAAAACGGATAAAGTAGTAATCCTCATTGAGCCTTGCAAAAATAATAAGGGACAGGAATTGCATTTTATCACTCTTCTCGGAAAAAGAAAAAATTACTTCAGGATCAGAAAAAAAATGGATATAGTAAAAAAAAAAAAAGTGATCATCTTTGAGCCTCAGAAAAAACAAAATAGCGAGGAGCAGACAGAGCAGGTAAGCACAGAGTATCTCTCTCACCTCTTTATATACGAAAGAAAGAAAAACTTTGATAAAGTTCCCAGATCTCCCTCTGAGAATCGCCTCTCTCTGCCTCAGTCAGCATATAAACTGTCCTACAGCGTTTATTGCTGTGTTTTTCTTTTCTTTAGACATAGATCTCACTATGTTTTTATTATGAACATTCTCTGTGTTCTGGTTTGAGAGTCTGCTCAGACTCGTTAATTGGGGCTTTGCTTTACAGCTGCGCCTATTTTTTTTTTCCCCAATCACTTTTCATAATCTGTCCAAGTCAAATGTAGGAAATTGTTTTCATTTTGTTTCATTTAATTAGTTTATGGCACAGAGACAGAAGTGAAAAAAATCTGTATAGATCTGTCCACCCTGCCTAGTCATAGTAACCTGACAACAGCCAGATGCATGTCTAGCTCCGCCTAGCTCCACTCACATACATCTGGGACATCGCTCATTGAAAGTGATTTTCCCAACCAAATTAATGGTCTGGCCAATCAGGACGCAGGGCGGGTGTTTCCTGGATGTGACGTAGTGGAGAAGCGACCGTGAGATTCCAACAACAATGGCGGCTCGCATCGAGGAAGCAAGCGTTCGCATTGATGCTGCTATTTCTTCTGTGTTGTCCAATCTATCTGATATTGTTTCATTAAAAGAACATCAGAGAACGGCTTTGAAGGCTTTTGTTGGTGGAAACGATGTTTTCGCCCTTCTCCCGACCGACGCTCTCACAGCGTCACGGGTTAGCTTCGGTGTGAGTGGTTGAAATAGCACGTCGATAAAGATGACAGACAAGTGGCTTATCCAATCATATGCAAGGAGTTTTGATAAGGCCCAGCCTTCAATAAAGGCAATTCCCATGGCGGTGTCCCAGATGTATGTGAGTGGAGCTAGGCGGAGCGAGACATGCATCTGGCTGTTGTCAGGTTATAGTCATAGCCTCTCTTAACAGAGTCAGTATGACATGGAAGAAAATTTTATCGGAAATTAAAAAGTTGTACGCAACCAGTGTTTTACGGCCTTTATTAGGGCTGAAACAGTTTATCACATTAATCGTGATTAATCGATTACTTAATTCAGTAATCTATTAATCGTTAACTGGAGTATAGAGACTCTAAAACCCGCCTTTAGCTGACAGAGAAACCCACCTACAACAGTAGAATTTTAAAACATTTTCATCTGTCAATATGCCCTATCCTAACTTCTCAAGTAGATACGTTTTAGTTTCACCTGGTTTAAATCTGTAAAAAAATCTTCTGTAAGGAACTTTTTGCTATTTGATTATTAATCAATTCATCAAAAAAATAATTGACAGATTAATCGATTTGCAAAATGATTGTTTTTTGCAGCCCTTGCCTTTATTGATTAAATCTTATGATGGTGAGAAATAAACTTTTGAAAAGTTTAAAGTTGAAGTTCCTGTTGGGAAAGTAAATGAAGCCGAGTTATGAAGGCAATACATGACATTGTAATTGAAGTGTTAAAGATCCCCTTCTGGTTATAGTTTGTATAGGTTTTCAACGAACAAATATTTTCTTGTTCAATCAATCTTTCGATAAAAAACAATATTTTGATACCAAACAGTCCATGAAGCTAAAACTATGCCTAATGAGGAGTTCAGAATAGAGCATATACATGGACGAAAAAGTATTTCTGCATAATTCCTGCTCCGAGTATGTTCCTCTTTCAGCTAAGGCCACTTGTTAGCATCGGTATACTCCACCGATTTAATCAGTTTTTGAATCAGTTGACACTTATTTTGACAAGCAATTCATTGGATTACTTGTTTCAGTCCCAGTTATCTCATGAACATCCTAAAAGGAATCTCTGTTAAACATTACTTTATAATTCGCATTACGATGGTCTGCGTCATGATTAAAATCTCAGCAGCTGTAATTTATCAATTTTTGAATGGGACACCTCTAGGGCTGAAACAATGAATCAGATTAATCAATTATTTCAATAATTGGCAACTAATTCATCAATTAATCATTGACTGGATTGTAGTGACTGTAAAACATGCCTTTACCTGACAAAGCAATCCACTTAGAGCAGCAATTATATCAAAATTATAAAAAGAAATATATAAACATGTTGCATATAAGATAAAAATCTTTCCGCCAACATTTAACTGCTTCAGCTACAGTTAGAGTTCTGTTGATCAACAGAGTTTTACTTTAGTTGTATCATGTATATGCAACAACGAATCGGTAAAATCGATAAAAATCGACTTTTAAAAGCGTTGGCAACGAATTTCATCATCGATTAGTTGTGTCGCGCGATTAATGCGTCATCCGCCGCGCCGTCATCACTGCCTCTTGACTGAAAGAGGAAGAAAAAAAATACGGCAGAGCGAGTCAGCGCCGCAGGTGCAGTGTTGCCAACTCAGCGACTTCAGACCCCTCCAGCGACTATTTTTCAAAAAAGCGACTAGCGACAAATCTGCCGACTTTTTTCGGTGTCACTGGCGGCTTTTGGAGACTCTTACGTGAAAGCATGTATCGTTCCTACTCTGCCGTGGGGCGCCTCCCCCACCCCAACCGCGTTTTCCCGCAGGAGTCCCTCTCAGCGCTGCAGTCAGAGCCTCAGCGTCCAGACTGCAAATGAAGCGCGCATGCACCGGGATTGACGGCGCAAATTGATCACAATAATTAAAATAGCCTGCGCTTTGTAAAGTGAAAAAAGTGATAACATGCAACTTTTGTCAAAAGAAATTAACATGGCACTGAATCACCATGTTTGTTTGGTTTTAAAGTGGGGAAACGTAACGTTAGTTTCTCAGGTAGCTCATCTGATGCTTTCCTTACCGTGTTAGTAGGTTACAGACAGTGATAAGGTTGGCTACTTATTTTACTTTTAATTTCATTTGAATTAGCTTAAGCAGCGTTTACATTTACTTTATAAATAAATTAACTTGCAAATTATGAGGGCAAGGCTTTTAAAGTTTAAATCTTCTGGCAAAGATAAAGTAAAGGTCCTGCAATTTATGGAAGTAAAGCAGAATAAAATCCAGCAAGATCAGTAATATGTCAATTAATTATATGACACATTCCCATGTAAATTGGAGTCTTTGGAGGATGTGTTTTTTAGCACCCCTAGTTCTCTCATTTTTATTCCAAATACAATTTATAATTTGAATCACAGGGCTATTTTTATCTCTATGGTTCAGTATTTTCTCAAGTAGAAACTTTAACTGCTATACTTTCCTGTCTTAAAAGGCAGAACTCTTCTAGTCTAAAAAAACTCATTTGTTGAAATGGGGGGCCTATTGTTTGAACCCCTTAGGGGCTTTTAAAAACAAAAATGTCTTTTTTTGCGCTTTATGAAACAAAGTAGCCTATATTTTGTGGATGTACAGCTACATTTCTCATGTAAGTTTGCGTAGTTTTAAAACAAACATTTATTTTTCATATTGCACCAGGACAGTTAATGAGCAACCTGTACTTGTGTGCTTGTTTGTTCTGTCTAAAATGTTTATTTTGGAATAAAGAGGTTAATATAAAAAAGACTTTTTGTCCGATTCATCGATTAATCGAAAAAATAATCGTCCGATTCATCGATTTTTAAAATAATCGTTAGTTGCAGCCCTAGTTGTATCCCCTCACCATCAGGACCATACAGATAACATCTGATGCATGAATAGAATGTGTAGACCAAAGTCTGACATTTTGATAAGAAAGGAGGACCTTGATGATGGGAACTGGGAAGTCCTTTGATTTGAAACTGAAGTCAGCTTAAAGAGTTTTGGCAGCTAAGTCTTAAACTTGTTTCTCAGTTTCACCAGCTCTTCCAGTTCCACTTTTATTCCCAACGAGTAAACATGACCAATTAATCCATATGCTGTCAGTTTCTGTGAAATCACTGGATCTTTGAGCTCTGCAGCAGCATTCATCCTGCTTTTTGTGCTGTCAGGTGATCAATGTGGACGACGATGGGAATGAGCTGGGCTCAGGCGTGATGGAGCTGACCGAATCAGAGCTCGTCCTCCACACCCATCGCCGCGACGACGTCAGGTGGCCCTACCTCTGCCTGCGTCGCTATGGCTATGACTCCAACCTTTTCTCCTTTGAGAGCGGCCGTCGCTGCCAGACTGGCCAAGGTATGTGTCGTATCAGTGAGCCTGACGTACAGACGATTGCAGGTGTTCAGGGGTCTCTTCAAACTTTGGAATTCCAAAAAAAGTCTATTTATATATATCTACTTAGAATTGATTATATATTAATGATATATTAGTCAGATTTTTTCTCCAATCTGAATAACCATATAATATCCATTTTCAGACCTTCTATCATTGTTGAAGTCTTGTCATCTATACGGGATTTATTTAATTAGTAGGGACCAGACGCATTGTGTAAATGTGCCAGAATTAGCAAAAGGCTAATTATCATCTGTTGTTTCTAGACAAAGCAGTCTGTCTATGTAAAATTTGTCCATCAGTGATTCATGAAATATATAAAATGTAATTGAAAGTTAATTGTTCATATTGATAGCAAAAACACAGGTGAATGTGATTAGATAGGTACTTGCTATACAGAATGTTAACGGATATGTTATGAGCGAAATCTTCAGTTTTTTTGTTTTTATTAATATAATCACCAGGTGTTTTTATTTTCTGAGGAAGAGTTAAAATCCTGTGCAGCCATAACTTAAAAAGCTCTGTGACCAAAAGCCATCAACTTCCACTAGTCAACTTCACTAAGCTAGTGAAAGCAAGATGACAACAGAGACGTATCCAGAGACAAAGGTTATTGGGGGAAGAAAGTAGATAATCTTGCACATGGTCGACGCATTTTGCCCTAAGGAGCGTGAATCCATGTGTACCTCTTTACTGCAGCTGTGGTTGAACTGGAATGGCTGCAGCGTTAAGTGTGAGTGACTTTTTGCTGCATGGCTACACTGCAGCAGCACCATAGTCAGTGTGAGCCAGGCGTTGGTGTCCTCTTTACTGACACGAAGTGGCAAGTTGTCTGAGATCAAAGTCAGAGCGACATAACCTGTCTTTAAATGAGTTTTACATTTCTGTTTAAGATGGATTTAAAGTTATCATACATTTTATTTTGTTAATCTTTCTTTTACAAAGTAACCTATTAGGTTCCAGTTTTGTGATATTTTGTAAATATGTATAAGCTTAATAATGCATGATTTTTTTATTCAGTATTTAATATAACCTAGACAATAAATTGTGAAAATCTAATGATGTACTGCTCTAAATTCAAAGAATTGTACGAAATAGTGAGTCATGTTATAAATAGATCCTGTTGATACAAGAGAAAAAAAGGGCTGCTTATCAATTAGTCGTCTGTATTTCAAATATCAATGAACTTTTAACCCAATCAATAACTTGCATTCCTAATCCTGAAACAAATTTAGACTTAGCAGTGGACAAACACAAACAGGAGTATCTCTTTTAGTAATGATAGGAACTCTATAAAGGTTGCTGTTGTCCCAAATCATGGACTTGCAGCTGCCTTAAGAGAGTGCACTCTGAGACAGCTCCCCCTGTTGTTAAATCATAGCAATTACAGTAAAGAAGACCAAGGACCTTTTTATTTCGAACTGGATCCTATGAATTAAAATATTGGAAGGTGATGGTTTTTAAAATCATTTGAGTTTTAACTAAAAAATGGGTGTTTTGAGAAATGTTTAGGTTTACTATTTGTCTGAAGCAAATAGAAAAACATATGTTGGTATTTCTTTTCTCATAACCTTTATGGCCTGAACACACCGGTTGTGTACAACTTTTTAATCTCCGATCCGATTTTTTTCCATGTCACACTGACTCGGTATAGAGAGGCTCCCACTAGGCAGGCTGAGCAGATTTCTTTCACTTCTGCCTCTTTGCTGTACACAATGAAAAACCATTTTCCACATTTGACTTCGACTGATTATGAAAGGTTATAAAAATTTTATAAAACAGATCTGTGCAGCATGTAGAATGTTAATATGTTTATATTAAAAACATAATGAGATCTATGTCTAAAGAAAAGAAAAACACAGTTTTTCTTTCTTTTTTTCATTAAGAATGGAGAATGATGACCTGCTCTGTCTACCCCTTGCTATTTTGTTTTTTGTGAGGCTGAAAGAGGATCACTATTTTACTAAATCTGTTTCTTTCTCCTCCGGAAGTTGGTTTTTGTTTTGTTTTTTCTGAGGAGATTGATAAACTGGGCTTTCTGTCCCTCATCGTTTTTGCAAAGCTCTAAGAAGATCACTACTTTATCCGTTTTCTGTCCTCTTGAATTCCTATCATGGGTAAAGTATCAATGTTTCATTGATAATTTTGCACGAGTCTGTCCTGCTTGTGCGACACCTAAACTAACTCTTTCCCTGTGGGATTAACAGATTTTATTTTGTATTTTCCCCCAAAGCGGATGCGCTTTACTTACCACGTTACCACGTCTCTCTTTCTGTCAGTCTCATGAAATTGCTGCTAAATTGCTGCGTAGTCCAACTAAAATAGACCTGGGCTTTATCTCAGTCAGATTTATGCAAGCCCCTTGCATAAAATCGTGTCAGGTGTGCTCATCCCCATTGACTTTCAATGAGCGCTAAACACCACAACCTCGTTGGATCAGACGCTAAATTGGATTCGGTGTGTTCTGTCCTTTCACATCAATATCCGGTGATGTTTGCTGCTCCACAAAATAATCATCCTCGCTTATTATGACTGTAATAATCTTTAAATTGTTTCCACTATCCCATCTGATGTTTTCGTCCAACACTAAAATCTGTCTGCAGAAGGTGATGATTAACATTTGAGGTGTCTACTTAATTATATTTTAAAAAAGCATCTACTGATACATTTGTTTTTATTAAATGATATATAACTGAGTATATTTTAATTAATGCAGCTTGTTTTTGATTAATTGTTTAACGTGTTAATATTTATTCATTTTGGTGGGAGTCTACAAGTTATAGACACTGCACCCTTCAACAAAACAACCAAAAATACACATGTAAAAAGTAGGGTTGTCACGATACTAAACTTTTCAACTCGATACCGATACTATGGAAAATATTCGATACTCGATACCATTTTCGATACCACAAGGATAAAATTTCAACAGAAATATTTTGATTAATAATTAAAATACAATAAATAAATAAATACAATAAACAATAAGAACAACATTTTGAGGTTGTTTGCTGTGCACAGTATTTAGCAAGCTTGATAAAAAACTTACAAAATTAAAATTAAGTTTCCCTTACTTGGCTATGCTTGGCACACATAACAAGGACACTAGCCAAACCGGTTAAGAAACAAAAACAATTCTCAGCAGCTGCAACTGTTACAAAAAAAGTCTGAAACTGAAAAGTGCACAGAATTATTCAATCACAGTGTTCAGAAAGTGCATTTTCCTCTATTCTGCACTTTAGATGAATGACTGTTTAGGTGCGACTGGTACTCAATACTTTTGAAAATGAGTACTGTATCCGGATACAACATTTCAGTATCGATACTTTTTTGAGTATCGATACTTTTGACAACCGTAGTAAAAAGACCCCGACAAGACATTTTGCTTCCCTATCAATTTGTGCAGAGAAAAAAATTAATTGCATTATAACAATCTGTGCCTGCAGTCAAGGATATACAATTTTGGATCTCTGCATATTTAAAACTAGCCAGATTTTTGTCTTATCCACAAGTCAATAAGTTCAATATAACTTTTTTTTTCAGCTGTAACTAAAACTAATTGCCTTTCACCTTGCATTCACCCAGACCTTCATCCACACTGTAATTCTCTCTGGCTCCGTGGCTTAAAGGCTGATTCATACCCAGAAACCAGGTCATCTGCGCGTGTGTCGCAGTGAACGCAAATGTGCCCCTGCCCCTTCTACAGACACTCTGCTGCACCTCTCCAAAATTGTAGGTGACCGCAGACAGGACCCTGATTAGTCAAATCTACATCCGCTCTATACTATCCGTATTTTCTGTTTGGTATCTTACCGGCTTGTTTTGATTGTGTGGCCGCCATTGTGGAAAAGACTTTTGAATATGGATCAGCTAGAAGAGCGAGGTGCGCGAGAATGCTTGGACTTTTTTTCTACCTGGATCCCAAATCTTTTTCGTCCTCATGTCCCTCCATTGTCTCACAAATTTGCCCCCACTTCCTCACCGCCTCGGCCATATCTAGATCCACAGCTAGTTCGTGATTGTCCCTCTCGCATGGAATAACAGTGCAGACCACGCTTCAGTATTTGGCATAAATCAAAAATATCTGCAACAAGCTCACTGCGACACACTGCTGCGGGACGATAACCAGCCCTTTAGAACTTAAAGGAGAGCCCTCCTTCATTGTCCATTTGAGATTGGGATCAAGTCTATTTCTGTCTGATGACAGAGCAAAGCATGTACATTTCTAAAGACCAGAGAGCCAAACTATAAGTTAGACAGGAATAACAAAACAAACCTGGTCCTTTTTAAAGCTGCCATGTACTCGGGGAACTCAAGGTTTATCAATAATCTAAACATTAAAATTACACCACTGTGAAAGGTTAATCCCTCATTTCGAGTTGAAAATTTTGTCACTAATCATCCTTTAATGGATTTTTCTACCTGTCCTAAATGAGGGTGGAGCTGATGGCGAAAACTGGGAAAGTCTGGAATGCTTTAATGGAAAATGTTGAGGTTAAAGTTGCACTGTGTCTCTCCCCGTGCACGCTCTCAGGACCGCGGGCTGCTCAGGGTTAGGAGGGGTCGGTAAGTCTCAGACAGAGTGGAGGTGATTGGCTGATCAGTATTGATTGTGCTGTGAATACACAGGGGATCAATAACTGTGTTTGTGCCGTGTCTCCTGTCTGTTTCCCCGCTTTTCCCTCCTCCTTGTCTCTTAGGTGTTCAGATACTCATGACATCATCTGTTGGTTGTCTTATTGTCTCACAGTTGTCCTGCAGATCCTTAGGTTGTTTTGTCTGACCAGTCAGAGGTTTGGGCTAAAAGGTTTCTGCATCTCGTAGAAGGCAGTGCTGTTTGTTGGAGTTTAGATAGTGACGATAGAATAAGAAAAAGGATCGCTGGGGTTTCCCGCTTCCTTTTAAGGGGCAGATCAGATTCTGTCCAGTCTTGGGGAGGGAAGGAGTGGGCATTTGTACTTGAATACTTGTTACATGTCCCTATGATGTCCAGTTAACCGGACTACTCATCAAAAAGCTCCTTCTCCTATGCTCTCAACCTTGCCTCTTCCAGTTAAACTTAAACCTGTGTACGTGAAACTGTGGTCCGTTTCTCAGACCTGTGCAGCTAATTTTAATTTTTCTGTCTGCTCTTGCAGGTATATTTGCCTTCAAATGCCCACGAGCTGAAGAGATCTTCAATATGCTGCAGGAGGTGATGCACAATCACAGCATCTCTGTGGTTGAAGAGGCCGTTCTTGACCCTAACCAGCAGGGGGCGCTCACTCCTGCAGGTGCATACATACACTGAATACTTTTTCTCCCATTATGGGCTCTTCAGAATGTTAATCAGGAATTTCTAACCTCTGTGTGTCAGACGTCACATGTTGCTCTGTGCGTTTCTGTCTCTGTAGCTCTGGGTTACTCTGTACCGACGGTACCCAACGGGGTGAGTCGGCTGCCCTCCGTGGGTGAGACACCGTCTCACCCTTCCACCCGTCATCCGTCTGTGGCCAGCACACGGTTGCCGTCCGTGGGAGAGGAGTCCACTCACCCGCTGCTTGTGGCTGACGAAGCGGTATGACTGTTGTGATGTGTGCAACTTGTGTTTTTGGGGTGTGAAGTCAAGGCGTACGCTGATGATGCTGGGTTCTGTGTTGCAGGTGCACACTTATGTGAACACCACAGGACTCCTGGAGGACCAGCCCAGCCCGCTCACCGTCATCACCCCCCTGGAGAGCCCCACCTCTCCGCAGTCTCAGTGCCCTCCTACACCCCCTCCTCCTCCCAGGGCCCGCGTGGAACCAGTGGCACCTGTCCCCCAGCCGGAGCCCCAGGTGCTGCTGGAGCCTCAGGGGGTGCGCTTTGTGCTGGGCCCCACCCCTGTTCAGAAGCAACAGATGGAAAAGAAAAGACAACAGGAGCTGCAGGAAGCCACTGAGCTCCAAGAGACTAACGGCCCCATCCCAGCCCCCGCCCCGGCTGAGCCGCCGAGCCCGCACTCCAACGGCTCTGCCTCCAACCCATCCACGGCTCCGCGCCGTCACCGCCCCCCTCCTCTGACACCCGACTTGCAGAATGTCAACAATTCAGCGCAGCGGCGCACCGCCCTCCTGGACTATGAAAACTTGCCAGTGCTGCCCCCGGTCTGGGAGGCCCGGAAACCGAGCGCGGAGGAGGAGGAGAGCCCAGATGGCGGTCTGAAGACGCCGTCGCTCAACGGATTCAACCACCACAACACCCACAGCCTGCTGCAGCACTCCTTGTCCCATCCATTGTCGGCTGTCCTTGAGCCCTCGCACAACTATGTCAACACAGAGAACGTGACGGCGCCGCTCAGCGCGCACCGCCCCGACACGGCCCGCCGACGCACCGACGGACCCAACATTTTTAACTTTGACTTTCGCCGGCCGCCGCTGCCGGGCCACATGGAGCAGCCCAAAACTCTGAACTACATTGAAGTGGAGATGGACAGCGGCGGCGGAAACAAAGGCACCTCGGACAGCAGTAACCCCCACACGCCCCGCACCCCCACCTCCCCGCTGCCTCCTACGACGCCCACACGGCGCAATGAGATGTACGCCCTCATAGATATTGAGCGCACGGCCGCCATGTCGAGCCTGCAGAAAGCACGACCGCGAGACGACGGCACGTCTCGCAAGACGAGACACAACAGCACGGAGCTTCCAACTAAGAGCGCCGCGTGACTTTGTTTGGCCGGCAGGGAGCCGTGCATGGACTCCATTGAACCAGGAGCTGTCCACCTGCTGAGGTGGACTGGTACTATAGCAGATGTATTACCTCTGATGATGATGATGTAACAGACTGCTTTCTTTATATGGTACACGTCAGTATTACTGAACAAACATTCCAGTTATCCTTTTGTACGAGTCACTGTGCTGCTGTAAGATGACACATGTACAGTAGATCTGACACAATAAATGTCTGCTTTTATTTGTACTCGCTGACAAGCGCCTCGCCTCTTCTATCAGCAACATCAGCATCATCATCCTCACACATCCTCACTATACAGCTTCATTCTCTCTCACCCAGATCATACATCATTGTTTTCCCCGCTGCGTCTGTATCATCAACGCTCTCGTACAGCATCACACGGAATCTTCATCAGCTGCATGTTTTGGTTTATTGATCTAAATCTTTGTAGAGTAATGGGTGACTAAATTTGGAATGAATGTTGTTTTTTGTGTATTCTGAGTCCTTTGTAACCTTAAGGAAAACTTATCCCTGCAGAATTTCAACAGTTTTAAGCTACAGACCATTATTTATGTTATGTTGAAGTTAGTTTATGACTCAACTGTAAACAATCCAGAGATCATTGATTTTACAGCGCTACCTACCTTTGAAAATATAAAAAGGTTTGCTTTGTCCACCAGATGGTGCCACTTTATCTCTGTTTCAAACATGCAGCTATTTCGTTCCTTGTTTTGCACAGAGCCTCTTTCCGCTGAAATGGAAATAACTGGTCATTTTTTTCTGAAAATCAGGACATTTTGAAATTGTACTGGCCTTTATGGGTAAGTATTCCGTAATTATTATTTAATTATTAAAATGGAAGAAATATCACTATATATCCGTCAAGTCTGGCAGCATTAGTGCCATTTTTTTTTTTCCTGAAAGTGCAAAGGTAAAAGTCCGAATACCACACCTCTCAGGC